ACGTTTTTCTGAGTAAACAACAACCCAAATTGTTACAAAGTAATTTATTCAAGCTCTGACGCTGTTAATAAGATTCCATCGGTATTGACACTTTAAAATGGAACGAGAGTCAAATAGTAGCCCTTCAAAGGGCAAAATATTTGTCCCCTTCCCAAATTATGAGAATAATCATTTTATTTTCCTCCCAGAACTCCTTGGTGCATCAAGCTTTCTTTCTTTCTTTTTGGAAATAGTTTTTTTCCCCTTCTTCTTTTTGGTTAATTACAAGTTAATCCAGGTCATCGGTGATCACACAGGGAATGGCATGACTACTGCAATGTTGCCAGCTTTATTTACGTGCTGATGTCACTCAAGGCAAACTTGTTCCCTCTGCATTCATCTTGGAAAATAGTTTCAACCCTGCAAGTTTGAAGATCCTGGAGGAGAAAGAGATGTTCGGAAATGGCCCCATGATCAAATTATTTCTTATTAATAAAACACATAGAACATGTATTCTCGAAGGCTTTCATGGCTGGGATCTGATGGTTGTTGTGGGTTTTTCGAGCTCTTCAAGAAAAAAGAAGTAAGTCTGAAACTGAACAAGGCCTGGCTTCCAGCACTGGAAAATACAGCCTGCAGAAGGTCAATGAACTCTACCCAGCCACAAGGACCAGGGATCATTGCACACACAAAAAAAAGCTAAAGACACCCATCAACCACAGTGACAAATACTCTCTCCCACTTATCACAACAATAAATTTTCTACAACAAAAACACGTTGATCACCCTATCTCCTGAAAAGGACAAAAGCTGTTCCCACAGCTATAAATTCTCAACTATCCAACAAACAGCAACAGAAACGTCAGGAAGAACAACCTTCAGAACATGGCCAAAGAACCCGAAAAACCCACAACAGTCATATAGAACATGCTTTTCAGTCTTGAGTTGGGGGAGGGGACTAAGTGTGTGCAAGGCATAATGATTATTCTCAAAGGCTGAAGTCCAGCAGTAAGTCGCAACTAGAGCAATGGAGATGTGGTGAGTCACCTTGATTCAGTGGGCCTACTGTGGGTGCAATTTACTATTGGATTTCAGTCACTGTCTGCATGTTGAATTTTGTAGCACATGTAGAGTGCTGCTCCTGTACCCTGGTTCATCTGAAGATCCTCACATATTTAAAATTGTTGTACTTTGTATGACTGATTGCTCTACATAACATGGACAATGGTTTTCAGGACATAGCTGTGCTCCAGCTTCCTTCCTTTCCAGAGTGGAGTGGACAGAAGTATTAGTGAAACCTGGGGTGGGCAATGGATAAGTGATGACACCACAAAATATATAGGTATAGGAGGTGGGCAGGACAGTTAGTGGAAGATGGGCAGGTGCTGATAGGCGATTCTTGAATTTGGAGCAAGCAGGGGGAGAGAAAACCCACAGAAAAGCCCAGTCCAGAATCCTTTAAAACAAAAGCAACACCTTGCTAATGCAACAGAACTGCCAGTTTGGTGATAACGATAATGACAATATTGTTATGTTAATATAACATAATATCAACACTAGTAAAAGTTAGACACAGATCCTTGCAGAGATGGACAGCAAAGGAGTACTCTGTCTGTAAAATATGTGAAAAATATTTTCCCCCAAAAATGGCAATGGCATACAGAGAGGGAACAGTTTTTCTTGTCATCAATTAGATCATATTCAATATCTAGAAGATGCCCACAATGGTATTAGTAAAATCCCATTCCACACTGGCATTACGAAATCGATATATTCCAGGGGAGAAGGAAGGTATTTCCCTTGGATTTAAAATACAGCACATCTGCTGGAACAATAAAAGAGATCACTGCAATGGTAACAACATAATTCCATACAAGAGGAACATAATCATTTGGGAACACGTCTTGTTTATGCACAACTAATGGGCACTTATTCCTAAACAAAATAGATCATCTGGGAAGGTAATTCCAGAAAGACAAGAAAGCGGTGCAGTGACATATGCCTCCAAGATGTAGTTTCTATATTCCACTTAAACAATTTGTGTGATAGAAAAACCCAAATCTTCCCTTGCTAGGGGAAATGGGCAGGCAATGAATCATGATGGAAGTTAAAATGGGAAGAAGGAAAAAAAATGCAGTGTGAATATTTCATGAGCATGATCTTCAGGAGCACATTATATTCTGTGGCAGTCTTCCCTAGCCTGGCACCTTGCATATGGGTTAGATTACAGCTCCAAGCATTTGCAGCTAGCATGTCTAAGGGTCATGCTGGCGAGATGCGAAGAAGGTTGCAGTCCAACATGCTGGAACGGGAATGGTGGCTTGGAGATAGATTGCAACACACCTGAATGGGTGTTCAGGTTAATCTCTTAAATTCAAGGCCAGGAAGATAAGAGGGAGATAGGGTGGTGGAGGGGGGAGGGAACAGGTGTAAGAAGAACATACGGGGTGGAGGGGGGGTAAGATGAAGAAGGTGAAAAGAAGGAGGCTCAGGGAAGCAGAGCAGCAGAAAAGCAGATGTGCATGAAAATAAATTAAGATGAAGAGTCAACATGGGAAATAGAATTCCTTTTGTCAAAAATTGAAGTGTTGATTCTGTACAGAGATAGAATATGTTTTCTTTAGACAAGCTGACTTGGGCACTGAAAGGTTCCAGGACTGATACAGGAAAACCTACTTCACTGACCTCTAGAAACCCAAAGTGAAATAAATACAGGCCAATTGTTCGTTAGGCTTTTGAGAGTGCACCTGAATTTAATTGCCTGCAATCCTTGTCCAGGAATGCATTACCGCTGAACTGAGAGAGCTGCCGAGAAGAGGTGATTCATATCAGTAAACACACAGGGGGGGAGGAATATCATCCAAAGTTTCATTTATGCAATATCGTGAACTTTTGTTCCTCTTCAGTGTGTATGTGTGTGTGTGTGTGTGAGAGGGGGGGTTGGGGGCTAAACTAGACATGGGTTCTCGGTTGCAGCTGGTAGTCCTTTATTTTAAGATGTCCTCTATTTGAAGGCTCTTTACTCCTAGTTTTTATCTAACTTTTATCTTTAAAGATAAAGAGACTTAGATAAAGACAGATCTTATTAGATAAAGATAAAGCATTAAAGATAGACAGACTTTATTAGATAAAGATAAAGAACCAATGGAGGGAAGAGCTTGCAGGGGGAGTGCATTCAGACCTGGACTGTTAGCAGCCTTTGTCACACATGTTCCCACCATTGTGATATGTGTTGTATTTCCACTTAATGTGTAATCATTATCAATATTTCTAAACATGGCTCTGTATGTTTACACATATGTGTCAGCAAAACAGAAGACAAAAAGACTGGATTTTTCTTAAAATTTGCATCTGTTATTTTATATTTCCATGTACCATTGTAAATAAATACTTTAACTGAAATAAAATACATCTCACTGTAGTGGGAGAGACTATCATCAGCTGATATCTTTGCCTGCTGCCCAGCTGATATTGATGGTAGCGTGGCTTCATGCCCGCATTTACAGAGGGCACTTCTCTGCACGGCTGCCCAGCCCATATCTGTTTTAAAGATAAAGAAGCGTGAGGAGGAAAGTCAGGGACCTTGAATTGGCCCATCTACAGTTAGCACCAGGACAGCAGACTCAGCAGGTGCATAGGTCACCTGCTCACAGCCTTTCTCATTCAGGTGAGAGGCATGATTAATTTTATTTAAATTACATAAATCATTTCTAATTTGACCTCTGTTCATTTGAATCTGCAAAAGCAATTTTATGCAAACTTATGCCCCCTTTGGTCCGCTTTTAAAAATCATTTTTAAAAAACTGTAAGTGACTGTGCTAACTGATTATTATCTTTAAGGGGCCCTGCTTTCCTTCTCATTATTCTTTATCTTCAAAATGGACAGCCATTGAAAATATAACTTTCAGAGCTCTGCATGTATGGAGGCCTAAGCCATGGGGGGCAGTTGGACTTAAAAGCAACATAAGCAAGTTTATTGGGTATAGTAACACTCTCAGGTTTGCATCTGTAGTCTACTTGTGCAAGAAATGATGGGGTGGGGTGGAGCAGGGGGCCATTTACCTTGCCTCATGAGAGGGATGGCTTCACCCAAAATATTCCTGGTCTTGAAGTTCTTCAGTTCTCTGTGGTTAAAATCCTCTTGGTTAGTGTAGCATGTTGGACTAGAGTAAGCCCATTGAACTAGTTCAGATTTGATGAGTTAACTTGTCTGTACATTCTGTTGATTCATTGAATCTACTCTAGTTTGTTTGTTTGTTTGTTTGTTTGTTTGTTTATTTGATTTTTACCCTAGACCATGTCTACTCGGGGCGGCTTACAAAATAAGCCGCCCCACAAAATAGTTGTGACGTATTACACTAAGCAACAGGATTTCAGTTAATTTATATCTTACACCTTATAGCTGATTTTAATTGTCTGTAATCCTTGTCCAAGAACACTGGTGGGCAAAACCCAAAATTCTGCCCACTGGTGTTTTAAATGGTATCTAAGGAAGCACTCGTCTATATGTCTAAAACAATATGTCCTATACATATATATGCTAAGAAGACAAAGAGTATTCTAAAATAGTTCTGCTGGGAAACAGCTATCACAGAGTGAACAAAGTCCATCTCTTAAACTCTAAGCCTTAGGAAACTGGAAATTCTGTAAATAAGAGAAGATATGAGATAAAGAGTTGAAAGAAAATGCCAAAAGAAGACCTTGGGTTCTTCGCAACATGAAGGACACTGAATTTGGTGTTACGCAATGCAACTGCACATTTATGTAGAAGTGTCTTCAAATCTGCATTCCCAAAAAGGTTTTGAAGTGCTGCTTTTGAGATTCGTCATAATTTTGATCAGATTCTTTAAAGTTTGGCGCAATCCACTGAAACTGATTGTCAGTACCAATGATGGGCCACTTGTAGTCTTCTGCATCAGGTTGGACTGCAGCTCCCAGCAGTTCTCACCATTGCCTGTGCTGATTGGGGCTAATGAGAGGGTGCAGTCTAATAACAATTGGAGGAGCACATCCCTGATCTGTACAGCCTATTAGGTTGAAAGCAACCTCACCTGGCTGCATTCCACAGCATCCACCCAAGTGCCACTTCTACACAAGTTCCTCAGCTTCAAAGTACAATAGAATGGAATAGGTTATTTCAAAAAACCATAAGCAGTGATACAACTTGGCTGTCAAGGTGACAAATTAGTATGGGGCAACCAAGTCAACCTTCATAATCATGGATACATCAACAACTGGAAAAGTGACTACAACTCCCAGAATCCCATAGTCAGCATGGGTAATTGGACTTATTGGGCTGTTGTTTTTAAAGAAACATTTCCTAGTTCTGAAATGGATTAGCTACATAAAATAATAATAATCTGAGAGCTGAAGAGCTGGAAGGGACCCTATGGATTATCAAGTCCAGCCCCTGTCATAGAGGCACAATGGGGAATTGAACTCCCAACCTCAGACACCTAAACTACTGGTTAGGTGTGCTCATTGTACAGTGTAGTGCGGCTGAAGTGAGAAACAAAAATGGGAGTGTTAGCTTGCAAGGAGTGCTGCTTGGGAGTCCCAGACTCAAGTTACACAGAGCTTGATTTATGTACCTCCAATTAAGCTGAATATTGGACTCTAAGTCGGCCATGGATAGGAAAGGTAGAGACCATTGGTTCTGTCTCTCCCACAACTCTTCTCCCCTGTCTTTATAGCTCTGTGCTGCCACCATGTGTCAACTCTCCACAGGCTGATCCTTTTAGAAGAAGCAGGGTATCCTGTCACACCATTTAGAATGCAGCAGCTGAAACATGTCCTGTGTAACGCAAGGATATTTTTAAACACTACGAAAAAAAGAAATAAAGAAACATACCAATGAACATCCATTAGTTTGATCTGAGCAGTGGCAAGTGGGTAGTGGTGAAATATTTAATACAAAATTGCTCCTCAGGCTGTTGCTTGTCTGAGGAATGGTGTGGACAGAGAGAATAAAAGTCAGCAACAATAGCGTTTAATATGAAGAGATGACGGGAGTAGACTCTGAATATGCTGAGAGGGCCTTTTGTCATTTCCCAAGTACCAACAAGGTGTCCTGTGGCGTGTACTAGATTCTGCGCCAGGTACCAATGAGCTGATGGCATCAATTAAGTTATACTCCAAAGATGGAATGCTTCCAGCCCATGGACCAAAATGCATCCAACAGAGATTCCCCATCCAGCCTGCAAGCTTCTTCTGTTACTACCTGCAGTCAGCAACCAGACAAGATTTCTACTTTAAATACTCTGTGCGGGACTGAGCTGAGCTTTGCAGACAAGAAAACTGTTGCATGAAACTAAACTGTGATTTACAGGCCTGGAAAAGTGTTTGGCTGGTGTTCATTCCTGAGCAGATCTGTCTAGAATTTCACTGTGCTCTGTATGTGTGCTGGGGTAATCCTCCAAATGAAAGGAATTGCATCTCTCCCTTCCTACTTTGCTTTGATCTTACCTATTCTGTCCATATTATTAGCCCTACCCTCTGCCAGGATGTGGTCCCTGAGATGTTCTTAAGTAGGAATAAGGCCCTGGTGCTGAAAAAGATTACCCCAACTCAGAGGAGAATGGAATTTGATTTATATATTAAAATCTATCCCATAAACCCAGATCAGTCCCTTTCTTGATGTTTCATTGAGAAAATGCCTTTTATGAATTAGATTGGTTTTCAATTATTATGGTGTTATGACTAGCTCTCAATCAGCACTAACAAGAATTCCATATTTTTGATTAACACAGGTCTTTTACAAATTGCACTATAGATGATGCAAACTGTTTGAATGTAGATTGAAGAGATAGTCTGGTTTGCATTTTGTCAGTGTTGAAGCTTAATACTGAAGGCATACACACAAATGTCAATGAGTCATAAATAATTTTTTATAATTAAAGGTCCCTCTTAGGCAGGGTAATAAGTTTGCAGTCCCAAAGATAAGCATTTTTCAGAACTAAATTCACTTCCCCTTCAACACAGAAATCTCTAAAGATATTGGGAGTCTGTTTTTGGACTTGGGGTTAAAGAGTTTGAGCTTTTCTCTTGTGTGGAGGTAAAAATGAAACCAGTCACAATGCTGTAAATTTAAACATATTTCTCCCCAGGAAATACAGTACATGGCATTTGACAGGTTATAATGAATTCAGGATTAGGAATCAAGGGCTCCATCCAACATTAGGTCTAAGAATTTCTGCCCATGACATACAACTTCTTCCCTCATCTTCCTGAAGGTTCATGCCTCCTAAATCCTTCCCCATACTTTCTGTGGTGAGGTCCCGTCATTGTTTCAGGCAAAGGTTAAAAATACTTAATGTAAAGAATAGCATACAAAAATGTTTTCATTCACAGAATGCATGAGAGACACACGTCATTAGCTGAGGTGAGTCGCCCCCCCCCATGAGGTGAGGCTCAGGTCATATGGTATTGCTGTCTATCTCCCCGCCCGCCTGCCCCCCAAGTACAGGCAGAGTATTCCCCAGTCCTCCATAGCAGATTTAATTTTATATGAAAATACTTCAACAGTAAACCATGCTGCTACCAAATAATATTCTGCTGGTAGATAGATGCAAACCCACATTAGGGTGTGTGGTTTGTTCATTTGTTTTAAACCAGCTCCTTTTTTACTTTATATACATTGAAAGGCAAACATAGGCAGCCCATGGTCTAACGAGGGGTATGGGGGGGCACTTCAGCCTGAAATTCTGAGATGAGACATTCTCCGTCTCAGACCATGATCTGTGCTGAAGACAATCCATAGTATTCCATGGCTTGAATCAAATCAGCATTTTCAACTACAGTATTGTGTTGGATCAACAGGGCTCACATACAATAAGTGTTAACTGACCATTCAGCAGTTTAATCAAAGTGTTTAACCAATTTGATTAAGGCCCATGTTAGAGATGTTCAAATTTGTATTTTTGATCTACAGTGCCCCACGCAGCTCTGCTGGGAGTTGTAGTTCATACAACAAATCTGTACATCTCCAGCCCTTCTGTTAACATAGAACACAGTAATATTAGTGGCATTAGTAGCTTACTGTAGAAGATGGTAGTAATGTATGAAAGATTTTACATTTATGCTAGAGCTATATCCAGTTATTTGCTTGTTGTTGTTTTTATATGGTAATAAAACCTGTTGTATAAATTGTTTGCGGGTTTCACTTTCTTCATTATATTACACATTCCAACTAGACTGATGAGGGCTTGTTATTTTTGTTTGGTTTGTTTCAATCTTCTTTTCTTTTCTTTGGATCAAGACTTAGAGCCTGCTCATACTGGCATATAGTTCTGATATACGGTTCCTGTTTGCCATGGAAAAAAAGGACCTTGTCTGTTTGTATTTCTATTTAAAATGATTCATCCTTCCCCTTTAAGAGCTAGCCCATATCTTTCTGGTAGATGTCTTGGGCATGCAATCTTTTTGGGATGATTCATTGATATGTAAATAGTTCTTTGTTCTACCTTTGCAGATGGGTACCAAGAGTTAAAATAGATCCAAGATAAGGACCGTTTAAACACCAGCCAGATCACACCAAATTTCACAGTGTCCTTAGCAATCCTGCTGGTTTTTGGGTGCAAGATGGTTAGAAAATCCCTGTGATGGCTTTCCCCACTTCTATCCAAAATAGTCACATGAAAATCTCTGTTCTTGAAAGGTAGTAGTCAAGATGGATTCACCCTTTCACCTCCAAAATTGCTTGTTTTTGTTAAATGCTATCAACTTGCCTCCAACTTATGGTGACCTATGAATGAGTTAATCAAGCCTGTTAAATCTTTCACCTCCAAAATAGCTTGTTTTTGTTAAATGCCATCAACTTGCCTCCAACTTATGGTGACCCTATGAATGAGTTAATCAAGCCTGTTAAAATGTAAATTGGTGCACTTATAGTATCCATCATGAAAACAGATAGCTAGTACTGTAGAGATTACTGGACCAACTTTAACACGTTTATAAAACAGGATGGCTCAAGTCTTTGCAAAACAGCTTATGGGTGACACATTTCCAATGATTGCATTCCTGTAGTTGATAGTCCAGTCTACAGGGTTACAGGGAGGACATTTCGCATAACCCAAGGGATACCTCATAAGAACATAAGAGGAGCCCTGCTGGGGGTGACACAAATGATTGCATTCCTATAGTTGATAGTCCAGTCTACAGGGTTATAGGGAGGACATTTCACATAACCCAAGGGATACCTCATAAGAACATAAGAGGAGCCCTGCTGGATCAGATCAGG